TCTTCAATCTGATTGGCTGCTGAGTCTCTCTTCAATCTGATTGGCTGACGAGTCTCTCTTCAGTTTGATTGGCTGACGAGTGTCTTTCCTTGTTTTACAGGAAATGAAAGAACAGCTGTTCAGTCCTGCTGCTGCCTCCAGTGACAGAAAGAACAAACAGGTACCTTCCCAAACTCTCCAGGGGTCAAAGTTGATACCAGGTGGGTTCTGGCCATCCTTCGGGTCACATGATGACTGAAGCAGACAGCCGAACCGCCTCTCCTGGTTCTGACTTTGGAGGAAGCTGCTGCTGATTGGTTGAATGGTTTCTGTCAGATTTTAGAGCAATGGGGAGGATCCAGAGAGGAACTGAATTTCTGATTGGAAACACTCCAATGATATGTGATTTTATTTTATTTTATTTTTTTTGTCCTGTGAAGGTTCTGTTTGGAGAACGCAGCGGTCAGGGTCACGTATGGCAGCCTGGTTCTGATAAATACAACCGACTAGATCGCCAGCTCCAGAACGCCAACTCTCAGTTCATCGAGGAGCAGCAGGTCCAGCAGCAGGTGCAGATCTACCTGAACAGCATCAGAAGCTGGGTGCTAGGTGGATCCGATCATCACTGTCTGCTTCCTGTTGTTTTTAGCTGATTGCAGAGAAACAAGATGAGCAGCTGGATCTGGTGTCCGGAACCATCGGAGTTCTGAAGAACATGTCAGAGCGGATTGGCATGGAGCTGGATGAACAAGCTGTGTAAGAACCCAAAGAGCTTTGTCTGCAGGACCAGGTCCTGTATGAACTGAAACCTGTGCACCCCAGGGTCCACATACAGACAGGTGAGGAGGACAGACAGGTGAGGAGCACAGACAGGTGAGGAGGACAGACAGGTGAGGAGGACAGACAGGTGAGGAGCACAGAGGGTTGAGGAAGACAGACAGGTGAGGAGGACAGACAGGTGTCAGATCATCAAATGAATTCAGAACAACTCATCTATGATGATTCTTCAGGTCCACAAGGTGCAGACCAGGACACATCTGTCCATCAAGATGAGACGTCTGTCCATAACGAGGAGACATCTGTCCATAAAAAGGACACATCTGTCTTTACTTTTTTCTTCAGCCTTGAGTCCATCTGGACGTTCTGGTTCCAAAATGCCTCATTGTGGGAATCCACTCCACTGATCCGTGCTATGAGTCTCCGTCAAGGTCGAACCCACCGCGCTGACGAGTCCCAGAAGCCGCAGGTGGCCTGTGATTCTCATAAATCACCTCCACCTTACGGTTTAGCTCGTAAACCAGATGATTTGGAGTTCCTACAGCACGGACCAAACCTTCACACTGACTCAAGCTTTGCCATGGTCGATACCGCTGCTGATGTCTTCTTCAAAGCAGAGCCCCGCCCCGCCGATGCCAAAAAGCAGAGTCCCTGCTGTCATAAATCCAAATATGTAAACGTCTTCAGCATCCTCCTGAGACAGGACTGAGAGGAACATCATCTGCCACACTCCCCACGGGTCCATGACGTACCCCACAGTGTGAGTCTCAGCTGGACACACAGGTTCTCCAGGACCTTGTCGCTTTGATGAAAAAATCTTAGCAATAGAGTTGAACACCCACGATACCAGATCCATAATCTTAATTTACGTTCAGGAGAAGTGAACCAGGCGCTTCAGACACACAGAGAGCAGAGCAGGAGGAAGGAAAAACTGGAGGAAAGACCGAAGCAGCCACCTCAATCAGAGCCAGGGAGGAAAAATAAAAAGGATCATATTAGTGTGAATACTTCATGAACATTCACACAATAATATTTATTCAGGTAAAAGTTTATTGTTAAACGTATTGTCTGCACCATTTTGTACTTTATTATTTAAATCCACTCATTAATCACGTGGTGTGTTGTGTTTAAAATCTGTTTTCACATCATGAAGTTTCCCAGCATGCTCTCTGGGTGATCCTAACCATCTCAAACCCATAAAACCTTTAAAGTCCAGCTGTGACGTTGGTGCGGGTCTGTGCACGTTTCCACGGTCGTTTCGTTGTTCATACATCTGGAGGTTTGTGGGTGAAAGGGCAGCTGCCATGTTTTAGTGCCTACACAGCCTGAGACCCATGATCAGTCAGGAGAGCCAGATTCTGTCAGCCACTGGCGTCAGAAGCATCTGTAATGGGGGGGACACACTGGGGTTGGGGGGTCTGGGGGGGATTTTGAACAAAATCGAGGCAACAGTTTTCTGCAGGATCAAAGTTCTAATGCCATTTCCTGCATCCTGGTTTATTTTAACTGTTGTTAAACATCTAGTTTTATCTACAAAAGTAAACACTTGATTCAACAACTATTTTAGAGTAACCTGACCAACAGCTCTCCTTGTGTGAATAGAGCACGCTCCGCTTCCCTCATGCATCCTAACACCCCCACCCCTTGTGTCGAAAACTGCCGTAACTATCGTAGCGCTAAGCTAGCGCGCAACACAGAGGTGTCTCCCCCTCCTCCCCCCTGCCAACATAGATGACCGGTTGTAGGTAACCAGGAAAACCCGGAGTGGACTTTTAGTGGTTTGAGTGTTCTCCTATGAATCAAGTGGAATGGATTCATTCATGAAGAAATGCAAACCACGCTGCGTGAACTGATGTTCTGTGGTGAATGTGGGGGACACACGTCCCCTTCACATATAATTGTTGCGCCGCCTGTGCTGTCATCTGTCAAAAACACTAAAAACTGAGTCCATGTTTTGTAAGTAAAGTTAATTTTGTAGCATCTTTCACAGATAAAAAAATCACAGTTAAACAGTTCAATAAAACAATACAAAGACATAAATGAGCTGAATAAATCTGCTCATGGATACAAAGTTGTAGGTCAGAACCGGGCCTGAAGTGAACTTGTCTCACGTCCTGTGTCTCCTGCAGGATGTTGGACGACTTTGGCCATGAGATGGACCACACTCAGTCCAGACTGGACAACGTGATGAAGAAACTGGCCAAAGTGTCTCACATGACCAGCGGTAAGCTGCCCGCCAACAAACGAGTCATCAAACAAACAGGACCTCACTTCTGTCTGTCTGCCCACCCGTCTGTCTGTCTGCCCGCCCGTCTGTCTGTCTGTCTGTCTGCCCGTCTGTCTGCCCGTCTGTCTGTCTGTGCTTCTAGAGGTCGTTCATTAATCGGACTAAAGTTTATCCAGGGACTCGGTGTTTTGATTAGATGAAATTGTTTCATTGGATAACAGAGCTTCCAGCTGTGGCTGGTAATGATAAACTGGGATCACTGGGGTTAACTAGGTTAACAGTCTGGAGTTAAGGATGGTAGTTAACCTGAGTTTTAACATGTTTTTTGATTCAGTAATTGCAAACGATCCCAGAGTTAACGATCATGTCTGTGTGTGCAGATCGCCGTCAGTGGTGTGCGATCGGCGTGCTGCTCGCCGTCCTCCTGGTCGTCATCATCCTCCTCATGGTGCTCTGATTGGTCCAAAGGTTTCAGTAGAAGACGTTGTCTCCAGGCAGAACGTCTGGTCCCTTATAGACTGCAGCGGACTCGTATGGAATGTTCTGGACGTTACCTGGACTGAATCGAGCTCTTCCTGATCACTTGTTTTTTGTTGAGCATCATTTCAGAGACGAAGCAACAAGTTATGTTTGACGTCTGCCACACAAGACGAAAAGGTCCTGTTGTTTCAGTGTGTGTGTGTGTGTGTGTGTGTGTGTGTGTGTGTGTGTGTGTGTGTGTGTGTGTGTGTGTGTGTGTGTGTGTGAGTGTGTGTGTGTGTGTGTGTGTGTGTGTGTGTGTGTGTGTGTGTGTGTGTGTGTGATCGACTGAACATGTTTGCATATTATTTTGTAAGCCACTCATTGGATCTTAAAGAACCTCTCAGAAAGTACTGCTGAGTGCACAACTGAATAACCACTGAATTCAAGATGGCCGCCACAGCTAAGCATCCCTAGCGACCACAGCATCATCCGTGGAAGTGACTGAGCTAACCAGCAACCAGCACGTACTTGAAGAGATGGCGTGTTGGAGATTTTTACCAAGTTTGACCAAAACGTCTCGTGTTGCTCTGAACTAGTTTAACCAGTTAACCATTAATGTAACAGCTCATCTGCCGTTTAACTGGTCACGTTTAGGAACGACCGTTTTAGTTCACATGTTTGTTTAGCTTCACAGTTGACCTGGTTAAACTGGCCCAGTGAAGTTTTGGAACCAGCAGAACCAGTGCAGTTCAGGTTTAACGAGGCTGAGTCCAGTCTGGACGGGTTCTGCTCTTGAAACGTTTCATCTTATCCAGAAGATTCTTCAGCCTCAGTTTAGGACAAGACACAACGAAGTCATCCAGAGGACCTGAACCTCGTTAGATGTTTCCACCTGGATTATGGAGCAGCGTCAGGACGTTTAACAGGCTGAGGTCAAAGGTCACTGGTTCACTAAGCGTACTAATTAATGAATTAATTAAACGATACGGGGTGAAGTTCAAGCGGTTTGATTCAGGTTTAACTCATTTGTTAAAACACTAAAATGTTTGTGTTGTTTACTGTTTTGCTTGATATTCACTAAAAACTTATTTTAGTTTTTAACTTTATTGGTTTTGTGTTTGTAAATAGGAAGTATTGATCAACGTTCGTCTTCAGTGGAAAGTCCACACTTCCTGCTGCTGCTTCACAGTAAAAGTCTGTACAGGAAACTTCTTGACTCTTATTTTGAAGAAGTAGCAGTGAGGCTGAGGACTCTGGCAGCAGCCAATCAGTGTTTGATTCTCTTTCTCATTGATCATGGGACTTGTGCAGCCATTAAAGCGTTTCATCCTCTGACGCAACGTTTGACTTTAATAAATCTAAGAATGTTTCTCGTCAGTGAGTGACCGCAGCTGAAGATGAGGAGTTCCTCAGTCTCACGGCTCTTCGTCCTTTTACATAGTTTGCTCAGATTCAACTTTTCACTTCACATAGTTTAAGGGGGAGCGGTGGCGCAGAGGTTTGAGAGGGTGGGCCTGTGATGGGACGGTCACTGGGTCAACTCCCTGCACTGACAACATCAAAATGTGGGTGGGAAAGATGAACCCCCCTCACCTGCCCTACTCTGTGCCCCTGAGCAAGGCCTCCAACCAACCCCACCGTCTGCTCCACAGAGGGCTGTGGCTGCGTCAGCGTTTGTGAGTTAGTTCGTTGTGGCGGCCCCTGAAGAAGGAAGCAGCTGAAAGAACGTTACAGTTTAGACGTGACCTCCATCGGACTCCGGTTCTGAAGCGGCTCATGGTGGAAGACGTGCGGCCCGGTAGAATCGATACGGTCCAACACCAGCGTTGGTGTCAATGTGATCAATATTTGGATTGATCATTTCTAAAATGTCTGGAGTGAGAAAGACTTGGGTTCAGCTGCAGGTTAGAAACTAGTCGCCCTCATGGAGGCCCGTTGGGCTCAGATGTTCGGGTCACCTGCGTGAAGGTGTGGACCGGAGCTGACCTGGGACCAGGTCTAAACCTGCACTAAGTTTTAGAAAGTTCCAATCTGAGACCTCACCTGTCGTCTTGTTTGTGATGACCAGCACAAATTCTGAAGGGCGGGCCCGCTTCTGGACTGGGCGTCCTCCACAAACCGTCTGAGGAGTTCGGGTGTCGAACTGGATCCTGAGCTTAGTGAAGCCGTCGCATCCGAGCAGGTGGAGTAAAATACGAGCACGTTTCAGTTTGTCTTCGCTCCAGAGTTTATTACCTTTGTTGGATTTCTTTGTTTTTATTCTTTGGTTTCTACTTTTGTGTTTTAATGTATCTTTGGTGCACAGTTGGTTGGATTATTTAAAGTGCTTAACAAACAGCTGGATTACTGAGCAGCATCAGGACACAGCTGGACTGGACTGGTCCCCTGAGCACGTGTCTTTTTTTCTGATCGACCTCAGAGCAATTCATTACGTCCACAGAGGCCGTTGCTATGACCGGAGTCGGGTCACCCTTTTCCTCGGCTGACCTTGAGTCCATACGTCTGACCTGAGGGTCGACTGACGTCCAACAGAAACGTTCCATCAGAACAGACCTGAAGACCCCGACCCACAGACCGGACCAAACGGACTCTTTCACTCTTGACGAAGACGGTCATTCCTCCCTCCCTCCTGCCTTTTGTTCTCTTGTCCTGTCGACTTCAGAGCCTCTCTTTACATCTTCCAAATCAAAAACTATTATGGATCTGGTCAGCTGGTCCCTCAACGCAATTGATCATTTTTTTCCACCAGACAACAGGGTGCTGGAGAGCCCTCATGCCCTGAATGGACCCATTGATTCCTGGGGGGAGTGGAAGATGATGTGCCTGTCGGTGCCGTCCATGGAGGACGTAGAAGATGTGGACATTATTGGATTTATGACAACAGGGTTTCTGCTTTTTGTACCTTGGATATGGACAAATTAGGAGACATCGGCAGCAGTTTCAGCCATGGTAAAGCTGCCAGCCTTATGTGAAGGATTCCTTTGTGCTTCGAGCTCTCAGACTCTTAGGGACGGGGCCGATCCAGTATTGGCTTCCGATACCAGCATAATTTACGTACAATCTTTCCTGTCCAACCTGCAGAGATTTACGATCCATGATGCACGTTGGCTTCAAACTATGGAACGGATTTCCTGAACGGCGGCGTGTCTCATGAGCCCAGAGTAATAAGACCCGCCTCACATTCAGGAAATCCAGTTCATAGTTTGCAGCAGCTACAACGTGAGGACTGAGTTAGCAGCACTGTGGCTAACAGCTAACAAACTTTCATCTAAACATGTCGCTGTGTGGAAGTATTTTACACTAAACACCACAAAACAAGACAGCAACGTGCACTGTCTGCAGAGCCATAGCGCCACATTAAACCATCGTAAAGTTAGTTTTACGATGGACATTCGAGCTCCGGGGCTTCAGCGGTCTGTTGCTCTCACTGAACCCGAAGCAGGCAGCCCGACCCCGGCCAGCCGCGTCCAATCTGTCCGTCTCTGAGGAGGGACAGACTGAGCGCGGCTGGCTGAAATCAAACTGCCCGCCCCGGACTGAATGAGAAGAAGACGTCGCTGAAGCCTCGGAGCTCGAATGTTTAACGAGAAGTTGCTAAACTTCATCACAATTAATGATCAACACTATCAGTTGTAGAAAACGAAGGATTTCACAGTTTGACACTTTCAGCCAAGATATAGTTTACCCTCCAGGAGATATTTATCAGTACAACAGGAGACAATCATAAAAAACATGATTGGAAAATTACAAGAAAATTATATAAAAAAAAAAACCCGAAACAAAAGCAGCTACATTATAAAGTGATGTAAAATATTAAAAACAGGAATATGTCTGTTGGTTTATGTCGTGAACTTAACAGATGTTTAAAAACTTTTTTTAAATTTAATTCATTCGTTCAAAAGAAACAAAATAAAACCATCAAAAAGAAAAAAAAACATTGAATGAAAAGAGTTCAGAAAGAAGAAAAACATTATTATATCTGCCCCTTATTTAATATATATATATAATAACTTTAGACAAATCACCTTAATATCCACTTTGAAGCTAGGAATAAAAAGAAACATGTTTTGTGTTAGCAGGATTTAATTCTAACTTTAAAACTTATCCAACATTAATAAAACTTGCCTCAAGTTGTCTTTTTGGACATGCATGCATATATTTGTACAAATTGTACTTGAGAGCAGATTATTACAGCCTCATAGAAAATCAATGATCATGATATTGGAACTGGATCGGTATCGGACGATATCCAGATTTGGGGATCGGGATCGGATCAAAGTAAAAAAATGTGGATGATGCATCTCTATAACGAGCTCAACCGCAAGCTGGACGTGATCTCTGAGAATCGTGGGCCACTCGCAGCTCCTGGAACTCACCAGCATGAAGGATTCGATCTTGGAGAAAGCTAATCGAGCATGGAGCGGGCAGAAGGTCCATAAATCTGTTTGGATTCACCGTTGAGTGTTGGAGCAGAACTTGAAGACAGACAGAAATCAGATCTGGCGCCTCAAACAATAGTTTATCTGCAGTTGGCCTCCCCGCTGGCCTTGGACAGGCCAACTTATCTCAAATTGCTCCTGGATGATACGTAAACTAGAAGCTTCTGCGCTCCCCAAGGTCATCTGTGGCCTCATCAGAACCAAGATGCCGATAGACACTGAACCATCTTATCAGAACTTTGGAACTTTCTGGAGTGTCCAGAACTTTGTTGTCCTCTGTATAAATGTGTCTGTTTGTGTTGAGCTCGTTTCTGAGCTCCCTCCTCATGTTCTCACTTTCCTTATCTGAAAAGGTGGCGCCGCTCAAGTGGCTGCAGCTTGGTCTCCCCATGTGTGTCTTTCTTTTGTTCAGTCACTTTGGCAACAGTTCCTGGTTTAAATGTGCTGCACTAATGATCTGACTTGACGTCCTCATCGCTCAGGCTCTCGGGCAGAATCCTGATTGCTGTGACAGTTCTGTGAAGTCCATTCACACAAACACGAGTGTTTCACTGCTCATCAGCTGCTTGGTAGTCGTCTGAACAACAGTTCTTTTTCTGCTTTGACCCAAAACTCGGCACAGACGATGGCACCCCCTGCAGAAGAGACACGAGGCCCACAGGTCAAAGCATTACGAGTGACGTTTGAGATGCAAGAACCGATGATCTCACCGCACGCAGCGACTGAAGAGACCGTGATTTCTTTAGCAGACCGCAGGACTTCCTGGAACCTGAGGTGGAGTGGTCAGGAATCGAGGCGTGGGTCTCTGAGGTGAGCCGATCCAGGCTGCTGGTTCTAGTCCTGTTCAGTCTGAAGGAGGAGAAGAGACGACTCACAGAACGTCCAGAAGGTTCATCTCTGTTGAATGTGAAGGCAACAGTTATCTGGTGTTGACTAAAATCTGCAGATCAGTTTCACAGCTGCTGTTCTTACAGCAGCACAAGATACAAACAGGAAACGAGGCGTCATTGCAACACCTGAACTACGTCACGAAGGAGGTGGAACAGATCAGGAAACCAGCTGCAGATTAAATCTGTTAATTCATTCAGTTTGTGTCACTGCATCAGATTGAGGAGTCCACCAGGACTGGAGACCATCTGGGCTGAATCAGGTGATGATGTCATCAGTGTGGGTTTGAACTCACCGTTCTGGGTTTGACGCACAGTCTGTGTTGGACTTTGTGCTCGTTGGTGGTCTGATGAGTCCATCACTGCTGCCTGAGGCGACCGGAGCTCGACCTTTAACACAAACGTTGTCATGACTGTTCAAGTGCTGCCAAAGGGATTTATGATCAGTTCAGTTCAGTTTATTTATAAAGCACCAAATCACAGCACAGTTGTCTCCGGCGCTTTACAGAAACATTCACATAGAGAAGACAATTAGTAAAGTTCTCTATCTGAGGATCAGACAGTGTTCCACAGTCTGGATCATGTTCATAGTTGACTTATTTTTAACATACAAAGTTTAAGGTGCACACCTGGGGCCAGTTTAAGGCCCACACATTTTTGTTAACTAGGATGTTTTTATGGTCGTGATATTGTGCTACATTTGATTTATGTTTTATTGATTGTTTTATTTTTGTGAGTTTGAAGGAGAAATGTAGTAAATTTAATGAACAGTGAACATCTTCATCCTTGAAAGAGTGACCGCTGGCCTGGAGATGAGTGTAGACCTCAGAGTCCTGGCCTGATGATGTTGATCTTCTGTGCTGGTCCATCCTTTTGGCCAGTGGCTGTTTAGTTTCCCCAATGTAAGACTGATCACCCTCCTGACACTGAACAACATACACAACATTGCTCTGTTTGTGCCGGGGGACTGGATCTTTGGGATGAACCAGTCTTTAATGTATTTTGGGGTTTAAAAGCCACTGGGACGTTATGTTTAGAAAATAAACTTAAAGTGCGCACCTGGGGGTCACTTTAAGGTGAAAGGTTAAACCTCTTTCAGGGATGAAGATGTTCACATCCTGGACAGAGAGGAACGATGGTTTGAGAGAGGAGTAAAGGAGGCCATCTTTGTGAAAAGAAACCGTCCATCATTAAACAGGGGCGGAGCCTCCAGGTTCAACTGTCCCCCTCTTACAATGCTGTGATTGCTAGTATCACTCAGCCCTCTGTGAACAGTAAACAGCCATCAGGTGCTAATGATCCATTGTTAGGCTGATGGTCCTTCTTGAGCATGTGATCAGCTGGTTCTGGTTGTCAGCAGCAAACTGGTTGATCCACTCTGAGAAGGTGCTATTTAAGAGACTGAGCTGAAAACAGCACCTCAGACTGAGGAAGTCCTCAGGATGAGACGAAACGTTTCTACATTTTTTGCTTTGTTTTTTTTTTTGAATGTCCAGAGGACCAGATTGAACTGTTTTAGATTTTTTTTACCTGGATTATTGAGCATGCATCAGGATATTGTCTATTTAAATTATTTTCAAACCAAACTTTCTTTATTTAATATAAAGTATGTTTTTGTAAACGTTAAGGTGAGTGGGTGGGGCTGTACGTTTATGGTGCTGAAAAGTGTTTCTGCCTACAAGGAGACAATAAAACCTCACCCTCTGATTTTGGTGCATTTGTTTTAGATTCAGGAGCCCATGAGAACGATGCAGCAGTTTCAACTGTAAAGACTCTGGTTTACACCCAAACACAATCAGCTGGTCAGGTATTAACACGTGACTGTTCTCACCTGAGGACAATGAAGAGTTCTTCCCACGCAGTCCTGAGCCAGATGTGAGACCTATGTGAACCTGATTGGCTTCAAGCCTCTCCTGCTCCTTCTGGTTCTGAGTTGGATTCTTTCTTGCCTTAGTGCCATTGAGCCTCTCACTCTGTGACATCCATGTTACAGAATCAAAGGGCTGAAAGGACGGGGTCTTTGTGTAAGAGGCATAAGGGTTGATTGGCAGGTCAATGGTAGACAGGTCTTGGGGAGTGGACACCTGAGTTTCCCTCCATGTCACCTGCTTGTGGTCAGCCCCGCCCCTTTCTCCTCCATTGTTAGATCTGCTACTTCTTGTTTCAGCAGGTGTGGTGCCACCAATGTAGGTCTCTCTAATTGGCTCTGTCCACAGCTGTTGGTGGGTCCTCCTCCCTCCACCCTCAGCGACAGGTCGGTGTAGGTTCAGGGCCAGGTTTAGTCCTTCCCCAAATATTATCCCACACGGATCACTGTGGTCTATTCTCTGCACCACCATATGTCCTCTCTGCTGCCAATCAACAATAGGCTCCACCCTCTTCTTATTAAGTCCTGGCTGGTTGTTCACATACAAGTTCAGGTTTGGTTTGGATGCCAGGACACCAGTTCTTAGGTTCAGGTCTCGATTGGAT